TGTTGGTGTGTTGGTGGGATAATGTTTTGATAATTTTAATGGATCACAGTAATATCTATTGACCAGTTTGTATCTATTGAGTTGAGACAATGGATAGCATTTTTTTGTTTGTATTAGCATCTTTGACCATTCTCTAGTACTTATATTGATCTGTAGGTCCCTATTCCAAAAATGTATAGCTAGTATATAGAGTTGATCCTCGCAAAGATTAATTATATGTAATACTTTTGTTATCATTTTATTATTAGCATTATTCAGCATTTGATACACATACCTCATTTGAGTCATTTGTTGATTTAGTCTGTCTCAATAAAAAGCTTTCAATTCTTATACAAGAAAACCCTTATCTTGATGATAACAACAAGTTCTTTATTTCTAAGATTTCTATTGGAGGATCGTCAATGAGTTTTCCTTGGACTCTTAATTTATCCATGAGATATTTCCCTAAAAAAATATAGGTACTTAATCACCTTAGATAGTTTTATCTTCTTTTTTTTGAATTTGACAATTTTTATTAATTTTCATCAGTATTGTAGGGGTACAGAAGAGAAGGGGTGGTTATGGGGGGGGAGAAAAAAAAAAGCCGGTAGTTTAGTACCGTGTATTTACGCGATTCAAGCACAACAGTCATATAGCAGATAGAAACATTACATCTTGTATTTTTAAGTTCACATTACATATACTTTCGTGCCCTGGGCAGCACCCCCTGTATGGCACGTCTGGCTGCGGGACCTTTGTGTAAGTGGTTATTGGTTTTAACTCTATTTTTCATAATTGTGTCCCATTTGTGTAGGGGAATAAGGATAAGTCGTGGAGGGGAACTCTAAGGGGTTCGTCTAATTGGGGATTATAGCACTTCTGTTTCGTGTAGGGTGTCTGCCAGATTCCGAGGAATCAACTCTTTTTGTTACTTGAGTGCTTTCTCTTATTTGCTGATAGAGGGCTATTTCGTTGCCGATGTGTGCATCGTCTCTTGGTGGGATTTCATTAGGGGAGACCTGTCAGATCTGGTATATGTTCCCGTTGTGGATTGACACGATGAGTGTACATTATCTGTTTTCGGTAAAGGGTCCCCTTTCTGAATAAATGGGGGTGTGAGTTTTGTGGTTGCAGCGGGGTTCAGAATGTACTCTACTTCAGTGGCCTGGTCCCTGGGAGGTGCTCGTCTAAGCTACCTTTCTCTCATATTGAGTGTAAGGTGTCGTGCTGGGGCCAGGTGCGTAATGAAAGTTCACAGAAATAAGAATGTGTGTTTTCAAGGCGCTTTCAGTTAATAATTGAGTAAAATGACAGCAGCTACCACACAAATAGGGACTCTCTACCCTATAGATTAGTACAAAAAAGATTAGGTGTACACTCAGTATGGGAAATTAATGATAAAAACCACCACTGGTGTGCATATGGAGCGCTTACAAATTTGTTGACTCACCCATATGGGTTAACATACATATGTATGGAAAACGTGACTCATAGCGATATATCTGAAACAAATGTAAATGCAAGAAATAGTGCAGATAACGTTTTCAATAAGTGCAGTGAGGGAATATTCTATATGGTCTCACTCACATGTAGCAGAGCCCTATAGGATAGGCTCAGATCTCAATGGCCTGCGTGTGCTTATGGTGACACAGTACCCAATCGGTCCTCTAGGCGTCTGGAGATCCTTATGCATACATGAGAGAGAGAGAGAGAGAGAACAAGGGGAAGAGGAGAACCCCTAGTGCAGTCAATCCCAATGTACAATGTCAAATAGTGCAGAAAAAATGGCTTCTCACCTGATGTGGAGCCCTATACCTGGCTCCTGGTGTGTAGGTGTCTGTGCCTTTATTTTGGATTCCAAATATAAAACAAAATTTATTAAATAAAGTAGTAAAAACTTACAAGTAGAATATAAACAAAATTGTGAGAAATTATAAAATGTGGAATCTTCAATCCTCCAGCCGAAACATGTTTCACTGTACCCAGACAGCTTTTTCAATCGGTAATATAGTTGCTGCTGTTACTTGTTTAAATACTTTGTACTTCCTCCTGTGTGGTCCTTCAAACTTCCCTCCCTCCAATCCGCTGGCGTCCTTTTTCATGAACAGCTGTGCTGTGTTAGTAATGAGTATGCTCCGGTCTCGGAACAAGTCATGTGACCCGAAGCATCACGTGCCGCATCACAAATTGGGCGTGTTTTCAATGTAGGGCTCACAGTTCCATATCGTCCATTTTTAAGTTGGGCAAAATGCCCTTCCTTCAACCAAGTCCGTTCCTATTTACAAGCCAGGTGCTCAATTTGAGCGATATATAAACGAAAAAATGAAGGGAGAAAGGGGGATAGTATTATTGTATATTGCTTACAAGTTAATTCATAAAATTTACATATCAAAAAAAATAAAAACATCTAATGTTTTTCATTCAAAGTGACAGTACATGCATAAAGATAGGTGGTGAATAGGAGTGTGCTCTTTTAGGAGAAATGCTGATTATTATTGAATAGGTCTCAATTGTGTCAGCAGCTTATCTTCAATGATGATATCAATATTAAAATATATATATAAAAAACATATAAATATATAGTAGGTTCCTAGCTGGTCTCCCATACAAGTACTAACCAGGCCTAAGCCTGGATGGCTTCTGAGATCTGACGAGATCAGGCATTTTCAGACTGGTATGGCCATAGAGCAAATATTTAAAATGTATGAAACATACTAATAAAAAATAAAAAAATAATTTAAGTTAAAAAATGGCATAACTCAAAATCATCATTGAGACCATTAGGCTGCATGGTATTCAGGTTAAAAATCCATTGCATCTCCCTTTGGCCTAATTTTTTAATAAAATCTCCCCCTCTCCAATCGGGTGATACCCTCTGAATTGCATGGAATTCTAACTGGGTGGGATCGCTATTATGTTTATTTTTAAAATGTAAGGAGACACTGTGCTTTTCATAGTTGTTCCTAATGTTCCTAATGTGTTCCTGTACTCTAATGTGCAACTTTCTTTTGGTGCGCCCTACATATACAAGTCCACATGGGCATATCAAGAGATAAATAACTCTCGTGGACTGACAAGTAATTAGCTCGTTGATCTTAAACATGACTTTTTTATTTTGAGGGTGTGAGAATTCTTTTACTAGTCTCTTCTTACTTTTTGAGTTCTTGCACGCACCACAGTGTCCACAACCATAAAACCCTTTTGTTTCGTTGAAAAAGTCCCTATTACATCTTTTTAGGGGTATATGGTTAGATGTTAAAGTGTTTCTTAAATTCTTTACTCCTCTATAAACAATCTTAGGCTTCTCCGGAAGAATACTATTAAGGAGGGGGTCATTTCTTAAAATTGGCCAATACTTTGAAACTATTTTTATAAATTCTTTACTTTTACAGTTAAAGTCACATATAAGTCCTATTGTTTGTGGTTCAACTTTATTTTTAGTGTTATATTTAATTAGATCTTTTCTGTCCTTTATTTTAACTTCTTCAAGGGCTTTCCCCAACAATGTCTTGTTATATCCCTTTTCTCTAAAATCTTTCAGAATTTTGTGGGATTGTTCTTGGAATTTACATTCCTCCGTGCAATTCCTCCTTATCCTGAGCAGTTGCGCTTTGGGTGCATTCAGCAACCATGGGGAGAAATGGCAGCTATTCTCCCCAATGTAGCTGTTAACATCCACAGGTTTGAAAAAAGTACATGTCTTCAAACATGCATCCTCAACATAAATTTGGAGGTCCAGAAATTCCACTAGAATCTTGCTATAATTCGAGACTAATTTAATTCCCCAATCGTTATTATTCAGATGGTCCAAAAAAGATATCAGGGATGTCTCGTCCCCTTGCCAAATGAAAAATATGTCGTCTATGTAACGGCGATAGGCAACGAGGTTCGCGCTCCAACTACCATCTTGGTAAATAAATTCTTGTTCCCACAAAGCCATGAATAAATTTGCATAGCTTGGCGCGAACCTCGTGCCCATCGCAGTTCCACATATCTGTAAGTAGAAAAGATCGTTAAACCAAAAATAATTGTTATTCAGTATCCATCTGATACTTTTAACTAAAAAATCAATTTGTCCACTTGGAAATGTTCCTGACTGCTGTAAAAAATGTTCTGTCGCTTGACACCCTTTATCGTGAGAAATAATGGTGTACAGCGAACTAACGTCAGCTGTCACCAAAAAGCTATTTTCCTTCCACTTATGATCTTTAAAACTTGGAGGATATTGGAGGTGTCCTTCAGGTAACTAGGACATTTGGTAACCACTGGTTGGAGACACCTATCTACGTACTGGGATAGTCTGCTGGAAATAGACCCAATCCCAGATACAATAGGTCTCCCTGGAGGTTTTATCCTATCTTTATGGATTTTGGGGAGGTGGTAAAAGACCGGTATTATAGGTTGTGTCATGTTTAGAAACGCATACTCTTTTTCATTTAGAATGTTATGTTCTTTTCCCTCCTCTATGAGAGTGTCATATGTGATTTTTATATCGCTAGTTGGATCTTTCGTCAAGATTCTATATGTCTTGTCGTCTCCTAAGAGTCTAAGGGCTTCTTTTACATAGTCTTCACTGTCCAAAATGACTATACCCCCACCCTTATCTGCTGGTTTAATTACCAATGAATTGTCCTGCCTTAATTCCTTCAATGCCTGTCTTTCCCCATAATTAAGGTTGAATTGTTTTTGATTTGGTTTTTTAATCTTTTCTATATCCTTCATCACCATCTTTTCAAAGGTTGACATCTCTTCTGAGATACAGAACCTAGGATAGAATGAAGATTTTGCTTTAAGTTCAGTGTGCACAGCCTCCGACCTTTCTATGGGTACTTCTGGCCTAGTGATTGGATTTTTTAGGAAGAATTTTTTCAAACACATTTTCCTTTTGAATCTGTTAAGATCTACATAGATACTGAACTTATCAAGTGCTTTTGTGGGCGCAAATTTAAGTCCCTTTTCAAGTAGATTTATTTGGGGATTAGTAAGTGTTTTTGATGATAAATTAAAAATACCTTTTCCCTTTATTCTCTGACTTTTTTTCCTTTTTTGTAAAAGAATTCCTCCTCTAGTTCCCCGTCCTCTATACTCCGTCCTCTTTTTCCTGGGGTTCCCCAGCCTAGTCTGTTGTCCTTGTATCTGCCCTTCATGTAGTCTCCACAAAAATCCTCCTCTTTGTGTTGAGTGTTGAGGGCATTAAATCTGTTATAAGTAGGGATTTTTTTCTTTTTATCCCAATCAGTTCTATTATTTATCCCCCTTGGTATTCTTTCTACCGGATGCTGATCGCTCCTACTAGTCTGTATTTTCCTCCTTACCACTGGTTCTGGTGATCTTTTTATCTCCCTAGAGTGCCTATCTGGTGTCCCTTTTGTATCCCTAGATACATTTCCATACCTCGTGGGGATCTGTTCTCTATGTGTGGGTATTCCCACTGGTTTTGGTGATCTCTTATCTTCCCTAAGGTTTCTATTTGGTGTTCCTCTTTTACCTCCTCTAGATAGATGTCTCCATTTAGGTGTTAGTTTTCTACGAATTGGTGTCGTAGTCTGTTTTAGTAATCTGTTAGGTCTGCTTGGGCTTCCCTCATTGCGATAATACTGTTTGATTTTATATCTATCCTCATATCTCTCGTCTCTTGTGGCATCATATCTATCTCGGTGATTATGGTTGTTCTTAAAAAAAGTTCTGACTTCACCCCTTGCGTAATCAGTTTTATCTCTTAAATATTTTCTTTTTTTAATTTCTATCACCCCTTTCTCAAGTTTCTCCAAATTTATTTGGATTTCTTCTAAGGTATTGGTGTATTGTTCTGGGGGCATGTTTATAGTCAAAAACGCTTTTAGGGTATTGATTTCAGTATCTAATTTAATCAATGTTTCCTTTCTTCTTTTTATAATGAGATCTATTAGCCCAAAGGAGAAGCTTTCCAAGAGATCCGACCACTCCTTAATGAAGTCCTCCTCCTCCTGATCGAAGGAAGGATTCTTTGCGAATCTAAGACCCCTTGGCGTGATCTCCTCCCTTCTATACTTCTCCATAGTGGCTATTTCCCACTGAATCTTAATTTCCCTCCCCAGAGTTTTTTCCAACCTGTATCTTGAGTTCCTAATTTGGTTTTTTATATCCAAATCATTACAATGGTCTGAATTTATAGGGTTTTCCTGGTCCCCAAATAGTGCATCTATGTTTTTCCCATATTTTGATCTATTTTCAAACAATGACATATTGTTTACAAGCTGCACACACACAATAAAAGAGTATTAAAAAAAGTTCACAGAAATAAGAATGTGTGTTTTCAAGGCGCTTTCAGTTAATAATTGAGTAAAATGACAGCAGCTACCACACAAATAGGGACTCTCTACCCTATAGATTAGTACAAAAAAGATTAGGTGTACACTCAGTATGGGAAATTAATGATAAAAACCACCACTGGTGTGCATATGGAGCGCTTACAAATTTGTTGACTCACCCATATGGGTTAACATACATATGTATGGAAAACGTGACTCATAGCGATATATCTGAAACAAATGTAAATGCAAGAAATAGTGCAGATAACGTTTTCAATAAGTGCAGTGAGGGAATATTCTATATGGTCTCACTCACATGTAGCAGAGCCCTATAGGATAGGCTCAGATCTCAATGGCCTGCGTGTGCTTATGGTGACACAGTACCCAATCGGTCCTCTAGGCGTCTGGAGATCCTTATGCATACATGAGAGAGAGAGAGAGAGAGAACAAGGGGAAGAGGAGAACCCCTAGTGCGGTCAATCCCAATGTACAATGTCAAATAGTGCAGAAAAAATGGCTTCTCACCTGATGTGGAGCCCTATACCTGGCTCCTGGTGTGTAGGTGTCTGTGCCTTTAAGGGGGCAACTACCCTTCTTTAAGCAGCAACAATGGAGGGTGGATTCCAAATATAAAACAAAATTTATTAAATAAAGTAGTAAAAACTTACAAGTAAAATATAAACAAAATTGTGAGAAATTATAAAATGTGGAATCTTCAATCCTCCAGCTGAAACATGTTTCACTGTACCCAGACAGCTTTTTCAATCGGTAATATAGTTGCTGCTGTTACTTGTTTAAATACTTTGTACTTCCTCCTGTGTGGTCCTTCAAACTTCCCTCCCTCCAATCCGCTGGCGTCCTTTTTCATGAACAGCTGTGCTGTGTTAGTAATGAGAATGCTCCGGTCTCGGAACAAGTCATGTGACCCGAAGCATCACGTGCCGCATCACAAATTGGGCGTGTTTTCAATGTAGGGCTCACAGTTCCATATCGTCCATTTTTAAGTTGGGCAAAATGCCCTTCCTTCAACCAAGTCCGTTCCTATTTACAAGCCAGGTGCTCAATTAGAGCGATATATAAACGAAAAAATGAAGGGAGAAAGGGGGATAGTATTATTGTATATTGCTTACAAGTTAATTCATAAAATTTACATATCAAAAAAAAAAAATTAAATAAAAAAAAATAAAAACAGCTGTTCATGAAAAAGGACGCCAGCGGATTGGAGGGAGGGAAGTTTGAAGGACCACACAGGAGGAAGTACAAAGTATTTAAACAAGTAACAGCAGCAACTATATTACCGATTGAAAAAGCTGTCTGGGTACAGTGAAACATGTTTCGGCTGGAGGATTGAAGATTCCACATTTTATAATTTCTCACAATTTTGTTTATATTTTACTTGTAAGTTTTTACTACTTTATTTAATAAATTTTGTTTTATATTTGGAATCCACCCTCCATTGTTGCTGCTTAAAGAAGGGTAGTTGCCCCCTTAAAGGCACAGACACCTACACACCAGGAGCCAGGTATAGGGCTCCACATCAGGTGAGAAGCCACTTTTTCTGCACTATTTGACATTGTACATTGGGATTGACCGCACTAGGGGTTCTCCTCTTCCCCTTGTCTCTCTCTCTCTCTCATGTATGCATAAGGATCTCCAGACGCCTAGAGGACCGATTGGGTACTGTGTCACCATAAGCACACGCAGGCCATTGAGATCTGAGCCTATCCTATAGGGCTCTGCTACATGTGAGTGAGACCATATAGAATATTCCCTCACTGCACTTATTGAAAACGTTATCTGCACTATTTCTTGCATTTACATTTGTTTCAGATATATCGCTATGAGTCACGTTTTCCATACATATGTATGTTAACCCATATGGGTGAGTCAACAAATTTGTAAGCGCTCCATATGCACACCAGTGGTGGTTTTTATCATTAATTTCCCATACTGAGTGTACACCTAATCTTTTTTGTACTAATCTATAGGGTAGAGAGTCCCTATTTGTGTGGTAGCTGCTGTCATTTTACTCAATTATTAACTGAAAGCGCCTTGAAAACACACATTCTTATTTCTGTGAACTTTCTTTAATACTCTTTTATTGTGTGTGTGCAGCTTGTAAACAATATGTCATTGTTTGAAAATAGATCAAAATATGGGAAAAACATAGATGCACTATTTGGGGACCAGGAAAACCCTATAAATTCAGACCATTGTAATGATTTGGATATAAAAAACCAAATTAGGAACTCAAGATACAGGTTGGAAAAAACTCTGGGGAGGGAAATTAAGATTCAGTGGGAAATAGCCACTATGGAGAAGTATAGAAGGGAGGAGATCACGCCAAGGGGTCTTAGATTCGCAAAGAATCCTTCCTTCGATCAGGAGGAGGAGGACTTCATTAAGGAGTGGTCGGATCTCTTGGAAAGCTTCTCCTTTGGGCTAATAGATCTCATTATAAAAAGAAGAAAGGAAACATTGATTAAATTAGATACTGAAATCAATACCCTAAAAGCGTTTTTGACTATAAACATGCCCCCAGAACAATACACCAATACCTTAGAGGAAATCCAAATAAATTTGGAGAAACTTGAGAAAGGGGTGATAGAAATTAAAAAAAGAAAATATTTAAGAGATAAAACTGATTACGCAAGGGGTGAAGTCAGAACTTTTTTTAAGAACAACCATAATCACCGAGATAGATATGATGCCACAAGAGACGAGAGATATGAGGATAGATATAAAATCAAACAGTATTATCGCAATGAGGGAAGCCCAAGCAGACCTAACAGATTACTAAAACAGACTACGACACCAATTCGTAGAAAACTAACACCTAAATGGAGACATCTATCTAGAGGAGGTAAAAGAGGAACACCAAATAGAAACCTTAGGGAAGATAAGAGATCACCAAAACCAGTGGGAATACCCACACATAGAGAACAGATCCCCACGAGGTATGGAAATGTATCTAGGGATACAAAAGGGACACCAGATAGGCACTCTAGGGAGATAAAAAGATCACCAGAACCAGTGGTAAGGAGGAAAATACAGACTAGTAGGAGCGATCAGCATCCGGTAGAAAGAATACCAAGGGGGATAAATAATAGAACTGATTGGGATGAAAAGAAAAAAATCCCTACTTATAACAGATTTAATGCCCTCAACACTCAACACAAAGAGGAGGATTTTTGTGGAGACTACATGAAGGGCAGATACAAGGACAACAGACTAGGCTGGGGAACCCCAGGAAAAAGAGGACGGAGTATAGAGGACGGGGAACTAGAGGAGGAATTCTTTTACAAAAAAGGAAAAAAAGTCAGAGAATAAAGGGAAAAGGTATTTTTAATTTATCATCAAAAACACTTACTAATCCCCAAATAAATCTACTTGAGAAGGGACTTAAATTTGCGCCCACAAAAGCACTTGATAAGTTCAGTATCTATGTAGATCTTAACAGATTCAAAAGGAAAATGTGTTTGAAAAAATTCTTCCTAAAAAATCCAATCACTAGGCCAGAAGTACCCATAGAAAGGTCGGAGGCTGTGCACACTGAACTTAAAGCAAAATCTTCATTCTATCCTAGGTTCTGTATCTCAGAAGAGATGTCAACCTTTGAAAAGATGGTGATGAAGGATATAGAAAAGATTAAAAAACCAAATCAAAAACAATTCAACCTTAATTATGGGGAAAGACAGGCATTGAAGGAATTAAGGCAGGACAATTCATTGGTAATTAAACCAGCAGATAAGGGTGGGGGTATAGTCATTTTGGACAGCGAAGACTATGTAAAAGAAGCCCTTAGACTCTTAGGAGACGACAAGACATATAGAATCTTGACGAAAGATCCAACTAGCGATATAAAAATCACATATGACACTCTCATAGAGGAGGGAAAAGAACATAACATTCTAAATGAAAAAGAGTATGCGTTTCTAAATATGACACAACCTATAATACCGGTCTTTTACCACCTCCCCAAAATCCATAAAGATAGGATAAAACCTCCAGGGAGACCTATTGTATCTGGGATTGGGTCTATTTCCAGCAGACTATCCCAGTACGTAGATAGGTGTCTCCAACCAGTGGTTACCAAATGTCCTAGTTACCTGAAGGACACCTCCAATATCCTCCAAGTTTTAACAGATCATAAGTGGAAGGAAAATAGCTTTTTGGTGACAACTGACGTTAGTTCGCTGTACACCATTATTTCTCACGATAAAGGGTGTCAAGCGACAGAACATTTTTTACAGCAGTCAGGAACATTTCCAAGTGGACAAATTGATTTTTTAGTTAAAAGTATCAGATGGATACTGAATAACAATTATTTTTGGTTTAACGATCTTTTCTACTTACAGATATGTGGAACTGCGATGGGCACGAGGTTCGCGCCAAGCTATGCAAATTTATTCATGGCTTTGTGGGAACAAGAATTTATTTACCAAGATGGTAGTTGGAGCGCGAACCTCGTTGCCTATCGCCGTTACATAGACGACATATTTTTCATTTGGCAAGGGGACGAGACATCCCTGATATCTTTTTTGGACCATCTGAATAATAACGATTGGGGAATTAAATTAGTCTCGAATTATAGCAAGATTCTAGTGGAATTTCTGGACCTCCAAATTTATGTTGAGGATGCATGTTTGAAGACATGTACTTTTTTCAAACCTGTGGATGTTAACAGCTACATTGGGGAGTATAGCTGCCATTTCTCCCCATGGTTGCTGAATGCACCCAAAGCGCAA